ATATATATATACACACACACACATATATATATATACATATATATATATATATATATATAATAAAGTGCTTATTACGTGCCAGGCATTGTGCTAAGTGCTTCAGACCATCTCTTTGTGCTATGAATAGAGAATAGTCATGGGTGAATGCCTTTAGGATTAAAAAGTAAAATGGCACAAACCCAAGCTAGGCAAGACTCTTAAACAAGATAGGAAAAGCTCTGGTGGCCATATTACATATTCATATTCAAGGCAAATAGGGACCAGAAGGTTAAAAAATGCAAAAAAGATAAAAAAGGAAAAGGAAATCAAACACATAGAAGTAAGAGGGGAGAAGTTTAAAGCTTTCTATGTTTACAGTCTCCCATATGTACAACATGGCCAAGAGTGAACTCCCTTGTACTCCTCCTGTACCAGGGTATATGACTGAGAAACCTAAGGCAGGAAAAAACAAACTAAGAGCACTTACCAAGTATCATGAAAAAGAGTAGAACCATGGTTTGGGTGGTGTGAGTATGACCTAGGGTCAGAATAATGGCAGAAGGAGGCCTGGAGGCAAGTGGCTCTGGGCAGCTTTGATGGAGAGTGGGCAATAATGTACTGAGATCCAGTCCTGGACTGAAATATGTCATGTGATCAAGGGTCAGTGGGTGGAGCTGCATGGAGCTGAGGCTTGCTGAGTCCAGCATATAACAGAAGGAAGGGAAATGGTGGGGGCTGGTGCAAAGACATGAAAGAAGACAGCTTGCTGCTAGGACTTCTTTCCCTTCATCTTTCTATTTAGATTGTTCCCCTGAACTTATGATGAAAAATGCTATCCATCCCCAGAGAAAGAACTGGTGGTGTCTGAATACAGACTGAAGCATATTTTTTTTACTTCCTTTATTTTTCTTGAGTTTTTTTTTTGTTTGGTCTATATTTTCTTTAACAACATGACTATTATGGAAATGTTTGGATGCCTTCACACATATAACCTTTATCGAATTATCTGCCTCCTGAATTGGGGAGGGTGGGAAGGGAGAGAATTTGGAACTCAAAGTTTTAAAAATGAATGTTAAAAATTGTTTTTACATGTAACTGGGGAAAAAATAAATTACTAAATACTAGATTGTTCCCCTGAAAAGTACAGTATTGCAATGCTTCACAGGATCTCTTCTATGATCTAGGAGGGTATTCCCATCCAGCATACAGATCACAGCCCATCCATGCTTATGCATCATGCATGATTATTGGCCATCCCCTCCCATCAATTCACCATAAGGATTTCTCAACATGGTGGGAGCCTTCTCTTCATGTATCAAAGATACTAATAGAGTACATAGGTTCTCCCTGATCCACTTCCATCTTCCTCCTTCTATATGACCTGCCCATCTCCCCTCACATATCTCTTCAATGACTTTGTTTACAAGATCTCTTCCATCTAATTTCTTGTTTGTAATGGGTTACCTACCACCTGGTCTATACACCAGTTCAATAACTTTTGGATGAAGCTAAACTTCAGTTTTTCAGATGATGCAGTGTTCCATGACTCAGACACAGAGCATCATCAGAACATTGATACTAAAAGAATGGGCCTTTGTTTCAAGTGAAGCTTAGGGTTATTAAAATCTTTTTGCTTTTTTCCAAAAGCAATCAACCTGCTCTCTTCCAATTTAATTTCAGGTCCAACTCACTGCCCGGTTGCAGTGCCCATCCAAGATAAAAATATAGATTGACGATCTCTCAACATTGTCCATCTAACTGAATAACATAGTTTGGGCAAAAGTTATTTTTGAGGCATATGTTTGTTTTTCCTGCTTGGATAGCGAGGTCCAATATTTTTGCAATGACTATGGATCTCATCCAGGATAATTTGACATGCTCTGGAGCTTGATGTAACCAGCACAATATCATTTGTGGAGAGGAATATCTACAGACTTTGCCATCTACGGGGATCCTTCCTTCTTCAAATGCAAACTCTCCACCAGATCCCCTCCAGGGTAAAGGCAAACACCTCTGGCAAATATATTTCATACCTCCCTTTCTATGAATGATTAAAGGACTGTTGAACAAATTTATTTATTTTGTTTTTATCTTTCAAGGACTCTTAGAATTTTAATATATTAATGGAGACATTTTACTGGATGGGAACCGCTAAGGTGACATTTTACTGTATAGAAGTCACATGACTTGCCCAGGATCACTCAACTAGTAAGTTTATGAAACACTCATCTTCCTGACTCCAAACCTAGTACTCTATCCACTGTATCACCTAACTGCCTCTATCAAGGGTGCCCTCAATGCATGTACTGATTATTCTCATAAATTGTTTATGTAGATAGGAAAGAAGGCACATGAGATTGGTAAATATTGATGTTCACTTGGGCACCTTTTTTGGTAATAATAAGGTCTAAGGAGTTTTTCCCCCATCCTGTTGTGTCTTTCCGTCTTTCAGATACCTGAGAATTGATCTCTCAGTGCCTTAAAATGTGTGTTGCCTCCAGCAAGGACCCTTTCTGTATATATTTGTTCTCATCTAGTTGCTTTTCTCATTTTGGTCTTCAATTCTATTTTCACTTCCTTTGGTGCAAAGTTTCTCAACCTTAAGTCCTCTGAAAGGTCTATAGATAGATTTCAGAGAATCTGAGAACTTGGATGGGAAAAAATGATATCTTTGTTTTGCTTGAAGCCTTTGGCTTTCTTTGTAATCTTATGTATTTTATTTTATAGATTTCAAGCCATTATTCTGAAAAGAGATCCCTAAGCTTCACCAAGATACCAAAGGGATCCATGAAGCAAAAGAGGCTAAGAGTCTTTGTTCTAGAAGCATGCCTAGGGCTGTGATGTTAGGTTCTAAATGTGGGGGGAAATAGTTTGCTATAAAAATCTATACAGATCTCCCCATTTGCCCTTCTTTTTTTTCCATTCCATCCATCCCTAAATGCTCTCAGAATGACACTGTGTAGTTAATTCTCTCACCAACATTTCCTCAAAACTTCTTGGAGCTTTAAGAGGCCAAAATGCTTTTAATCTTTCACTATCTTTCTCCAAAAGATTTTAAGTCAAGTTTGTATTAGAAAATGATATGGCACTGGGCTGCTACATCTCTCCACTTGGCAAAGTCTTCAGTCTCTTCTAGACTCCTTTATATGGAAACTGAAGTACATCAGTGAAACTTCTGTAAAAACTATAACAATTGACACTGATATGATTTCCTTCATCCGTTTCCCACTTTGGGGCATTAATAACTCATTTAATTAGGCTGCTTTAATTACATGCCATATATTGCCCACAATTTTATTCTTTCTTTCAGTATTGTGTTCCTTTTTCTCTTAGCTTTAACAAGTTGGTGGTCTAACTATGTACCCAGGCAGCTGATTCGGGAATATTTCTGACATTACCAATGAATTTTGTCCTACCTTTTAAAATACAATCAGCTTCATTTTTATAATTTTGTTTGGTCCTTGCCAGGTCTACTATCTTCTGATACTTCTCTCAAAGAAGGTTTTCATGATATATACTTATAAGGTGCTTCTATGATGTTTAAAAGCATGTCACCTCTTTTATTTTTTGTCCTTGAGTGATATTTGCTGGGCCCACCTTTTCACTGAAGCCATCACATATGTCAACTTCATTTGGAGGACTTTGTGTAATTTTTTATAGAATTTCTCCACCTCTTCATACTATACAATGGATATTGGAATAAAAGATTCAATTATTTTTGTGGTCATCTTTTTGCATATACTTCACAGGAGCACTGTTATATTAGACGACACCTAGTTTTTAGTCAAATCTTCCAAGTTTGATAAAATTTGCCACAACTTAATCTGTCATAGACATTGGCATCACTTTGGGGACTACAAGGTCAGTAGCATGCTAAGATATAGCATGTAGGACTTCAAGGGAGGAGGCATTGAGTAGCTGCTTGATGATCATTGCTAAAAGAAGGAATAACTGAATCAGTGAATAAATTCAAATAAATAAATATGAATTAATGTTATTATTAGAAGAGGAAATACAATGATTCATAAACTAATTAGCAAAACTTCATGGAGCTTACTGTTTATCAGGGGAGATGGACACATCCTGAAAAACCTATCATAATTTCCATTCTAGGGCTAAATTTATTGGGAAAGGAGGCCAGTAAGAGTACAGAGACAGAACTTGTGGCTGAAAAAAATCATGAAAGGAAGACTTCATGGATGAAGCAGCTATAGTAGTGAATAAGAGTCCAAACAAAGATGAAACATTTACATTCCAGTAAGGGGATATGATACAAGTGTCCTCTCAGAATCCTAACATTAGGGATCACAGAGTAGGTGTAATAAGATAGAAGGCCTGAGAGGAATTTTGTTATATTTTGAGGATCTGAAGATAAGAAAGGAAAGGTAGAGGGGAAAAGGAATACACTAGGAAGTGGGGAGAGAAAGAGTGGAAGAAATCTCACGTAATTGGGGAACTCAAGTAGAGACTATTCAAACATGGAGGAAGAGGTTTGAAGAATGACACTTAAACCTCACTTTAATCTGGTTAAAGGAAGAATACAAACACATTTGAGTACAAAATATAGATAGATAGATAGATAGATAGATAGATAGATAGATAGATAGATA